AAAGAAAGAAAGAAAGAAAGAAAAAGAGGTGGTAGGATATGGCCCTTTGGGAGGATACTGGCAAATAAGCAAATTAAACAGAAAGAGAGCAGCGTGTTGTCATAGCAACAGTGCAATTAAATTACTTTACTGTCAGCCATCATATAATTTTCCTGTTTAGAAGCTCATGGGACGTAACTTCCATTTGGAGTCAAAGTTGAGTGTGCGGCATAGGTCGGCAATGCCGGTGCCCCTGGACACTGGCGATATTTGTGTTTACCTTCTGGCTGTGCTGGATGCTGTTTTGAAAGCTAGGAAGTGGGACTGGCGTAAGTTTGGCCTCCCAGTGTTTATATCTGCCTTGGTATTTTTTCCTCTTCCAGATACTTGTGTAAAACCACACATGTTCGCTGAGTTTGTTGGGTGATGGTGTGTATTAACGGGCTTCTGTGCATAGAAGTTCCATATGTTTCTTTTTTGGTAATGGCTGCTTTGGTGTAAAGTGTTTAAAGAAAGACTCAAGGAACTTTTTCATTTTTACCCTTTTGTACCAGCTAAAATATAATCTACCTTTTCCAGAATGACTATCATGCTCTTTTTTTTTTCCTGTAGGTACATGGTTCATTCTGTTGTTACCTGTAGTTTTTTTTCCCTTCGTTCATGGTATTGACTGTGTGGTTGCATGACCTCAGGGAATTGCTGAGGATACGATTTAGATAGAGGGAATCATTTTGCTCTTGTTCAACATTTGTGCAGGAAGTTTCATCGTTTCTAAATCAGTTATTAACTCTTTTCCAATTTTTATTTCACTGCTGTTCACATCTCCATGCCTAAGTCCTGGCAGTTTTACCGTATGGAGAAGGTAAGGGAGCCTGTCTCCTGGTTCTGAAGTGGAATTGTTGGGCTCTTGTCAGTGTCTTTTGAGTTGAGGAGACACACAACTTCACCCAGCTTCTGAAGGGCTCAGGTCCTCCCGAATATTACCGCTCGCAGGTATCCCCTCCGGGGCCTGCTGGTGCAGTACCCTTGACAGCTTGTCCCACCTCTCCCGGGGCGGCTGCTGAGCATCACAGCAGTCTTTCTGACTCTGTTTTCTACCAAGTTTGAAGTACGGTTCAGCTTATGCTAAAGCCCTCTCTGTTTACATACAGTTTTGAAGTGCTCTATTCCTCTGGTGCTTGTTTCCCTCTGTCTTGGCCCTGGTCCCAAAACTGCTGTGCATTGCTTTCCCTCTTCCCCTCTCCCGCACTTGCTGGTTTTGAAGTTCTGCTGTCATTTATGAGTTTTGTTGCAACTGCAGTCAGATTGGATGTTTGTCTGCCTTAGCCTTTAGCCAGAATGACTTTAATCACGTTACTGTTGTATTGTCCTCAAAAGTGAAACAGCTGAACTTAATCTGAAGCAACTGGCCTTAAGCCCTTCTATTTTTTTTTATTTATTTTTTTTTAGTTTACATGCTTATTAAAGTGATACAATCGGAGTATGCAATGATTTGGTACACATATTCATCATTAAAGGGACATGTCTTTAGGATTTCCTGTGTGAGGCTTTGTGTACATGCAGAACTAAGGTGTATCGGGATGATTGTTTTATTCTATCAACTGAAATATTTTTATTCCATTGACTGAAATGTTTTCCTCATCCTGACTTTAGATTATTGTACTGAAAGTTGTAGACGAGTGTTTACGTGAGACTGTTGTTTTTAGTACAGATGGCAAAAGGCCGAGTGACCAGTTAGGGAAAAGCTGTCAAAATGTTATGCAGTATCTTTTTGTGGGCTAACTTTCCTCTCTGTTTTTTTTTCTCCCCTTCCTTTGGACTTGCTCTCCCAGGAGTTGCTGTCTAAATGGGTCCAGTCATGCCTCCCAGTAAGAAGCCAGAGGGCTCAGGAATTAGCGTTCCCAGCGGATTGAGCCAACGTTACCAAGATAGCGATTTGTCAAAGGCACTTCATGATGATGAGGACCTAGATTTCTCTTTGCCTGCCATCAGATTAGATAAAGGGGCCATGGAAGATGAAGAACTAACTAATTTGAACTGGTTACACGAGAGCAAGAACTTGTTGAAAAGCTTTGGCGACTCGGTGTTAAGGAGCGTTAGCCCCGTTCAGGACATCGGTGATGACACGCCGCCGTCTCCTGCCCACTCTGACATGCCCTACGATGCCAAGCAGAACCCCAACTGCAAACCTCCTTATTCCTTTAGCTGCCTCATATTTATGGCCATTGAGGACTCGCCAACCAAAAGATTGCCCGTAAAGGATATATACAACTGGATCTTGGAACACTTTCCATATTTTGCAAATGCACCCACTGGATGGAAAAATTCTGTGAGACATAATCTGTCCTTGAATAAATGTTTTAAGAAGGTGGACAAAGACAGAAGTCAGGTAAGTTTGGAACTATGGAAACCTATCTGGCTCTGACAATATTCACCTGCTAATCCCAGAACGGGTCTGTAGCAGTGAAATGCACAATATGCAACGCTGTCCCTGGTAATGTAGTTCATTAAATTCAGAGAGCCAACATTTCTTTAGCGTGGCTCATTCTGATTTTATTAAATTCATTGTCTAGACATCTGTAAGAAAGTACTCAGTGTGTGTGTGTTTTTTCTTTTCCCCCCAGCTGGTGTCTTCATGCATAGTGGTTAAATATTGTTTTTAGTTATCAAGCTGTGGTAATGGTTTCCAGCTATACTAGATGAATGTAATCATGTTATAAATAGGCTGCTTGCTGTTCTTGGCTTATACAAATGTATAGTGAAAGGGTATGCCTTATGTTAGAGTCCATCGCTTTTTCCCTGGTCTGTGTCTTAATCTGAAAAAACTTTTCTTTCTTTTACACAAACAGAAGTAGTTCTGAATTTCGGTGATGAAGCTTCATTCCATTTCAAGCAGGTTTTAGAGAAACGCTTCAAAGAGAGAGATAGGTCTGGCATCAATGATGAAAGTTACCATTCACTGAAATTTCAGTCGTTCTCTCCCTGGGCTCCTATAGCTTCTGCGACCAGTGCGGTGGCAGAAGCCTGCGGAGCACATTTCTGCTTTTGGATCTCTGTTGTTGTCACCTGGTTTCATTGCTGAATCCTCAGTGGCATCTGCAGGAATGGGCTGTGTGGGAGGGAAGGGAGAAGCGAGCTGAGCAGCGGCGGTAGTCCTCTTTGCATAGCCTTCTACCGCGTCAGTCTGCCTGGGAGCAGATAATCAGTTTCCGAAGGGGACTGTCTTCAGAAGCAGTGGTCTGGATGAATCAGTACGAGTACACTGGTAAAAATATAAGCTTGCAGAACAATTTCACAGGCCTTCTCACAGGTTAGTGAAATAAATAGTGGGTAAAATCACATCACTGACTGTCTGTCTCTAAAATTGGCTGAAGATCAGAAAGCAGACACTTTCTCCTGGCAGAAACAATAGATGCTCTCAGCTTTTGTATTTCAGCGAAGCAAATGCCAGGATTGTCTTGTAACTGGTTACCCTAAAACTAAACTTCTGTTGGTGGTGCTGTTCTCCCTATTTTGGGTGCGATTTAATTTTAAATGTTGTGGAATAGGAGCTCGAGTAACTCTAGAGGAAGAGTTGTACGTTACTCTAAACTAGCAACTTTTCAGATTACTTAACTTTCTTTTCCCTGGAGCTTTCCTTTTTTAAACAATTGACTCTTTTGTCTTTTTTTTTTTTTTAAAAAAGTCGTTCCCTAGAATCCATTGCCCACATATTGATGATCACACACTGTATGTTGGCGTTGTTATAAATTAGTTGCTGTTAACGATTGTCTGTGAGATTAAAAAACCTGTTCCTGAACTGGATCTTGTTTTGTGTAAACCAGAGTCTTAAGTTCTTGTTTGGAAGTGAAACTATAATAACAAATGCCACACCAGACTTTTATGATCCTGTCCCAGACCATAAGAAACCTTCACACAGTACATTTAAAAATCCCAAAATATTGTAACTGGCAAGACATGTGTTTAACATTGCCATTTGTGTTTTGTTCTGTCCCTCTTCCTCTGTTTACCAGTTGACTATTTAGATTACAGCTTCCTTCCTATGAGGAACTTGTCTTCATGTCTATCTGTCAAATATCCGGCAGTCTGCTGAGCTCGTATGAACAATACTACAACGTGCTGCTTCTCCACAGGGAAGTGGCGGAGCACAATGCATGACTAGTCACCTACGTCTCGAATTCGTGATTAGAGCCATGGTTACATAGCTAGACAACAAGGTGTGGTGGGAGGCCTTGCCTGTGTGAATAACGAGGTGGGGTTTTATTCATTCCTGGAAAATCCCAGGTTATGAGAAAGAATTTTTTGCATCTCCTGGAGATGCTAATAATAACTGCAAGTAGCCAGCATTAAGGTGAATGAGATGAGAATCTCAAATGTAAAATTCACCAAGGCAGGTCATTTAAATCCCCTGCTGGGTTTTTCTGGTGTCCTGGCCAAGGGACGTGGCAGACCGAGTCCCAAGCGCAGAACTGGCGCTCAGTCAGAGTTGCTGAATCAGGTACTTGACAGCTAATTGTGGACTTGGAAAGCAGTAAACATCAAGTGCTGGCTTTGAAAATACCTTTGTGTGTGCACACTCACACTTGGGTTTGATTTGAGTACCTTGCAGCCAGCGTCTCTGCTGCTCGGAAGGAAGGTGTTCATCTAAAGGGTTCTCTGGTTTTGGACTGGGGCTCGGTGCAGGGGAAGGGGAGGACTCTCCTCTATAAGGCATTGTTTCATGCCACTTCTTCCCCTTTGCAGCCAGATCCTGCAAATTGCAGGTTTGGAGTCTGCCTGTCTTACTGTTTCTATGTGGGGGGAAAAAAAAGCATTTAGCAAATGGCATGTTATAAAATGCTAACAAGATAGGCTCTGAAACATGTACAGTATGGGGGGAAGGAGTTAATCAATGCTGGGAATTGCAGGCATTTGCCAGTTGATGTGCGTTGACACATTGTGAAAAGCTAGAAGCTTTTGTTCCTGTAGTTTGCTTTCCAGTGTTTGTTTGTGTAGCCTTTCAGTAATCGTTTTTCTAAAAAAAGTTCTGCTGAACACTTAATTCTTTTTTGAATTCCCTCTGCATAGTAGTTTTCTCAATCCCAGGCTCCACTAATTTATATTCACGCAGCTAAATATGTATTTAATAGTATGCAGCTTTTTCTACCTGCCTATGAATACTTGCATTTCCTTGTAACAGGAAAAATAAAAGGCTTCCAGGCCGCATCACTTGGGTTTTTGACTTGCCCTGTCCTGGTGCTTTTAGGTCTGGTGTGGAATGCCGGGAAAAGACATTTTTCTCCTCGGATTTGTTTATGTAATGTTGCTGTTCCACTTGAGCTGCAATGCCATCAGGCTCACCTGGCAAGTCGACAGAGTGACTATTCATGTAACTTTGCGATGAGGCTGATCTCCTGGATCGAGACAGAGAGCCGGGCTGAAGAAGGGGAAATGCTGAGCCCTTGATTGTAGAAACCTCTTTGCATTGAGCTCAGCAGTTTAATAATAGTTGGCCAGAGTGTGAAGTATCACATGATGGGGAGTAGACGAGGAGTTCCCTGGCTTTGTTTATACTGCTGGACCTGTGAATTCAGTCATTCAGATTAATCCTGTTGTGAACGTACAGATCTAAATGTCCTCTAGTGTGTGTCCCATTTAGTACAGCCCGTTAGCCCATGACTTCCCTGACTTCCCTACCATCTGGTCCTTGGCTATAGAGAGGAATTTTTCTTGTATATGTGTCTCCATAGCAACGAGTTTGCAGTTGATATGGAAAGTAAGCAGTTGCCCTAGCAACGGAGTTACTGATGTGGCAGCTTCTCTGCTTGCAGGGAAAGGGCTAAGCTAGTTCAGACGCATTATGTAGGTTTGCTGTAATTATAGCTGCGCCCACTAGTGCTGCTGTAGCTAAGGGTCTGTTGAAAAATTTTGTTAAAAGCCCTATTTTTTTTCCTTCTCGAAGATTTGTTTTATATGTGTAGGGATTCCTGTTTTGAAGAAAGGCTAGCAGGGTTGTATTTTCAGGGCACGCGATACATCTGTGCCTTTTATGAATGCAAACTTTCTCAATCGTTACTATCAAATGAGTGGATCAGAGGAAAGGATGTTTGACCTCGTTGACTTCTCTGCAATTTTTTTTTTGTCTCAGTGAACAGCCCACGGTTATAGAAGCTGAGGCTCTCGTCCCGTGCTCCTTTCCACTGTTCTGCTGTCTTTTCCCTGGTCTGTGCTTCTTCAGGCTTCCATGCTATCGAAAGGATTCCTCTTTGTGTCTGCTCGGTGTTATCTCAGATAGGGAGATGCACGCACGCTCCTGCCTGTGTGCATGCTGAAGAAATTAAAGTCTCTTAAAGGTTTGTTTGGCACTCGTGCTGAGGGATGTCTTAATAAAAATGTAATGAGGGTAAGGGATATGTTTATGGGGCCGGGAGAAGAAAATTCTCCTCGCTTGATGTGAAAGTTATTCTTAGAAGTACGTGGTCCATAACTGGGTCATGGAGATCCAGCCAGGCTCCTCCTCTGTCTGGAGTGGGCTCTGAGATCTGAGGACTCCCGAGTGGTCCTTGGGCTCTGCGAGAGCCAGCGTCCAACTTATCCTCGTCTAATGCACCGCCTCTTGTAAGCACTCTGCCAGGGCACCTGACGAGAGCCGTGGGGGATCTTTTGGCACAGGAGACTTTTCAGGAGTCCCTCCTGCCAGCGTCTTTCCCCTGATGTGATAATGTCTGGGCTTTTGACAGGTAAAACCCTGCAGAAGGATAAGCGCCACCTGGAGTGAGAGGAAAAGGAGCCTGCTCCGTTCATTGGAATCTCCTAATCCAATCTGCATACACACAAAGGCGAGGGACCAGGGACCCTGTCCTCCTTCTTTTAACATTTATGTTCAAAATCGCCTATGAAAGCTTGGTGCACTCTGGGGATAGAAATGATCTCCTCCATTTGTAATATAATAGCTCCTAGACTGACCCAAATAACACAAGCATCAGAATTTCACTGCATTTATAGCATCTGGTGGAGTTAAAGTGTAAAAAACCCCAACAAACAACAAAACAACCCCTCAGATTCATGTTAAAGACTTCAGATGATGTTGATTTCATTAATAAAATAATATCCTAAATAAGCTAGTCCAACTATTAATTTCCCAAATTGTTTAACAGAGATGTTGTGTTTCTAAGCTGGAATTTGTCTAGTTTAACCTGAAATCCTTTTTCTTATACCCCAGTCTGTCATACTAAAAAGCTCTCTAGTATAAAAAATTTTCTCCTCAAATTGGTATGTAG